ACTATAGCTTTAAAAAGTATTACATGTCAAATGTCACTTCTTTGTAGAACCTAGGGTGATTTATTTCTATTTTTGTTACATTGCACAAATCTGGAATGTCTTGAAAGACTGCATTTAAAATTTTCAGTCCTAAAACAAAACTAACAGGTGTGGTTCCAGAAAGCTCTGTGAGGCAGAGAAGAGATCTTGTAGAAGAGATCATGAAATAGGAAGAAAATGTTCAAATGGGAAAGGGAACTAGGGAGGGAGACAGGGAATGAAGGAAGGGAAAAGAAAAAAATAGACAAACGGAAACAAAGCTTTTGTAAATAAGGAAGGGAAAAGGGTGTGAAGGGAGGGGAGGGGAAGAGGAAAAAAAGAAGAATCAAGATATATACAGGAACAGATTCCATATGATGAATGTGATCATTATGTATAACTAGAATATGCCAATGAAATTAACTTTAAAGGAGAGAGACCTATTAGACAGGATAGACATTATTGTGTGAAAGAATGATGCAAGAGAAGAAAATGCCTAAGTAGCAGGATTAGTAAAATTCAAGCAAGGTGCATGTTTTATTTATGAACAGAGTTTTTTGTGAGGTGAATTACACTCATGTTTCACATTTCTCACAAAATCATTACCTTTGGAATAATTCATAATTCATTCATTTTTGTCATTTCAAAATCACCTACTAGTCAGATGTGGTGGTGCACACCTCTAATCCTAGGTGGTGCTTGGGAGGCTGAGGCAGAACATTGCAAGTTCAAGACCAGCCTGGGCAACTTAGCAAGACCCAAAGTATAAAAGATAGTAAAAACTGAAAAGGGGTGAAGATGTAGCACTTGTTTAGCATGCTTGAAGCCCTAGGTTCATCCAGAGTACCTCCCCCCGCTGACACACCTGTACAACTACATTATCTAGTAAAGAATATAATTAAGTTAAACAGACATCCGAGAATTCAAATGCGCTTTTTTCTCTTCAGATAAATGTGATGTTTTACACTGTCCTGCTAAAGCCACACCACTGTGCTTTCTGCTCCCCCTTTAGGCAGTGCACCATGCTGGGGTAATGCAGAGCTCTGCGTTCACATGGTTTGGGCACAGAACTGAGATTCTACCCCTTCTTAGCTGATATACTTAGGCAATTCTAGTCTGTTTTTTTAAAACCTGTGCTTAGAAATATTTTCTAAGGTGCTTAGAATACAGTTACAAATATTCATAATTATGTCAAATTTAGCAACTTATTTTCTGATCATTGTATCAGAAATATATTGCTTTTCTCTTTCTCTTTCCTTCTTTCTTTCTGTCTTTCTCTTTGCCTTTCCTCTCAACTTCCTTTCCTCCCTCCTTCCTTCATTTCTTCCTCCTCTCTTTTTCACTCCCTCCCCTTTCTTTACACTGAACTACATCAGCCCCTTTCTTTTCCCCCAAGGCAGTAATTTTACATTGCCCCAGCTGGCTTAAATTTACAGTCCTCCAGCCTCAGCCTCCCAGAGTGCTGAGGTTTTTGGCATGCACTGCCGTACTGGTTTTACCTTTAATGCTGTGATTTTTAACATTTTTCTATAATTTATTAAACCTTGATATCAAATAGTTTTCAGAGGGACACAAAATTGTTTCCAGAAGGACCCAAAATAGTTTTCAGAGGAATACTTCATTAATTTTATCATTGAGGAGCGGGAAAATAAGAGCCACACAATTATACAAAGTGAGAATGCCTGGGGGTTCATTTCTCAGGAATGCAATTAGATTTAAAAGAATTCCTATATCCATTTGAGAACAGTTGTGTCCATTATATTGCAGAGGAGTTATAAATCCCACAAATATTTCTGGAGCACCGTCCACATGCTAGTACAGTGCTAGGCATTGCAAATGCCAGGAAAGACAGAGAGTGTCCTGTCCCTGAGCTTATCTCAGAGGAAGGTGGGGAGCAGCAGGGCTTACAGCACACCTAACTTTTATAATAAAATTATTTTAAAAATTAACACAAATTATGCTTTCTTCACAGTCAGATGTGATTACCTGTGCTCAAGAAGTGGAAATGATGACGAAGCAGTTAGCAGCCGAGCTGGAACAATTAAAAATGACTATAAAGTCTAAGACAGCTGTCCCGACATCACAAGTGTTTGTAAGTATTTGTCATCACCTTTGACCTACTTGAGGCGAATTTCCTTGGGAGTCCTATGAAAGTGGATTAGAGGGGCTGGGGATTTAGCTCAGCGGCACAGCGCCTGCCTGGCAAGTGCAAGGTTGTGAGTTCGATTCCCGATACTGGAAAAAAACAAACAAACAAGAAAAAGTGGATTAGAAGTCCCTCTAACTATATTCAATTACTAAATATATAACATTACTTTTGTATAAGTTGCTCTTGTCCTTTGCGGTTATTTTGTAGTAATAATCTGCTTTATGTTGAACGAAAGCATTCTCCTTCATTAGCAGTTGAAACTAAAGGAAATACAGGCCTGGACTATGAGAACCATAATGTCTTCATTAGCTGTGGTAAAAGGAATAATCCATAGCACAGGGCTGAAAATGCATTCATAGTTGCTGGTCAGAAATGCCCTCTCATAAATGAGGAGGGGAGGAGGGGGTGAAGGGAGGGTAGCGGAACGGGAAAAATATAAGTTATATCATGTACAGGTACAAATTCTCTATGTGGAATGTGATTATTATGTATATCTAAAATGTACCAATAAAATCTGATGAAAAAGAAATTTCCTCTAGCACAGAGGTGATGTAACTTGTGACCTTTCTCAAAGCACAAATAATAAAATATTTGTTTTGTTTACCATGCATGGACTTCCACTGACTTTTTGGTTGTCTGCACCATTCTGTGGCAAACTTGGCCACTCTTACCTGAGCAAGGAGATATAAAACGTCCAAGGAGAATTATACAGAGCGTTTGAGACACTGATGATTTCATTCTCAGTATTTGGCTTTAAAAACTAAGAAACAGTTGATTTTTCCTTTGCTCTGTAAGTTAGTGACCTTTATTGTGAATAAAAAACATGTAAAATCTTTAACTTGCAATCATAAGACATGCCTTAAAATGTGTCTCTATGCTTCCTAGGTTCTCCTGAAACATTACTGGTGCAGATAAATCTACTACAATTATTCATATTTAGCTTTGTTTTTGTACTTGGTCTTTTCAGGCGAAATGTTTATCAGTCTTTCTTAGGTAATCAAATGCATTTGGCTGTTTTGGAAAAATTATGATTTGAGTAAAATAAAAATCTTTGAAATAAAATATAAATTTTTTTCTCGTATAATTTATGAGTCAAATTTCTATAAAGAATTTATTATCTAATTTCACAAGACTTTTGACGTAAGGAGGAATTAATTTCTTTACAAATGACAATTGTATTTGTCAGTTGTTTTTATACATGTATGTATATATTTAGTTTTGGTTTTTTGAGACACAGTCTCGCTGTATAGCCCAGGCTAGCCTTGAACTCATGATAATCCTCCTGCCTCAGCCTCCCAAGTGCTGGAATTACAGGCATGCACCACCACGCCTGGCTACAATTGTATTTATTTTGAAGAGTACAATGGTTTATAATTTGATCACACAGTTGTATTTTGAACATTTTTATTTCTCCTCCAGCCCATCTTCATGGCACTGGCCAATCTGTGGACCAGCTTTCAGGATGAAACTGTTTCGATTAGCATCCTCAGTAATTTGACCACTCATCTGGAGCCATTCCTGGGTGCTCATGATGTTCTCTTTCCTGAGAAAGTAATGCAAGCTCTTCTCCATGATGTGACTGTGAAAACAGACGCGAGTAGAATAAAAGAGCACATGGGTAATGGAAATCATTCATTGTTTCCTCTTTTTAAAAATTACCTCTAGAAAAATCACTTTTGTTTAACATTTTTCATGTTATACCTTTCTGATAAAGTATTAAACATCTTTCTCAACTATAAAGTATCAGTGTTCACTACAGAAAATTTGGAAAACAAAAAATGTGTAAGCTAAGTATCTTACTATGTAGCAATAGCCATTCCTAATATTATTCTCCATGTTTTGGTTCACAATGATTTTCCGTGTGTATGTGCTTCTATTGCAGGATTAGTGGTTTGATTATTGATATGTAGTAGAAACGGAGATTAATTCTTGCCACATCTGTTGAAAATAGAGCTCACTTTCTTTACAATGTTATGTGTTAAATGTCTACCTCAATTTCAAACTGAGAATTTATAAACCAATTAGTTTAATCACTGTCAATTTTATTGAGCTGTTTTATGCCCATCAAGAAATGTATTACTTTTTCTTAAGAAGTGCTATCTATATCAGAAAACTTTTTATTTTTTGGTCTCTTCCATCTTAAAGACAATTTAAAATTTATAAGAAATTCCAAATCAGATTATGGAGTTTGAATTATTACCTAAAAGTAAGGGATTTTTTTTTTTCAGAAAATAAAAGTACATGATTCATTAATTTGTTTTCAAATAGTATTTGATAAAACTGTAACAATGATTCTCTTTTGTAAATTATTAGAAATTATAAAAATTGAAAGCTAGATCAGAGACTCAAAAGCATTCTTTTAGAAGCTGAAGTTTTTACTACTCATTTCAGTTTATTAAAATAGCACATACAAGAAATATGAAATGAAATTGAAAAATTAAATTAAGTTCAACAGTAGTTATTAACCCAAACTATATTGGCAAGATAGTTTACTTGCAATTTCTTGGATTTAGATGTGTCATTTTCCACCATACGTCAACTTCTTATTTACTAGAACACCATGTATTAAATTATTCTCCTGTGAATTGGGACGGCCAGTATTCTTCTGAAAGAATTTAATTTAACCTGCCACATCTGATCATTGCTGGATGCCTTGGGCATATCAGAAAGAAAAAACACATTTTTTTCCTCCAACTTATGCACTTATTGTTAATTGTAGTCACAAAATCATTTGGAGTGTCTGTTTGGATTCTGAATCTGTTTGGATTTAGAGCCAAGTACAGATGTGTGAGAAAGACTGCAAAAGCTGAAAATCTCAGGGAACAATGTTTTATAAATGTGTCATTTGGATACAAATTCATTCAATTTGCTTACCTTTGGAAGTAAACCAATTGACCTGAGGAAGTATTTCAAAATATTAGGAAGAGAAATTGTATACTCTGTTTTTAATATCAAATTAGTAAGAGAGTTCGCTTGACTCTTCCTGCTTAGAACATTTTCTACTGTTTTGAAACACAATATCTTAGTATATCCACTTCAGAGTGTTTTATCATCTAGAATATTATTAAGAGCTCCATTATTTTTGAAAGAAATCTATGATCACACAGCAGCCAGTGTTCTTCTACTCATCCCCTTGGTTATTTCCTCTGCAGTAGAAAAACATATTCTGAAATGGCCTCTCTTTATCGTGGAGCAATGATCTACCTCCACGTTTGCTCCAGCGAATCATGTTTACCTGGGACAGTCACAAGGTTATTTGTACTTCTTCGCATGAACAGCTCTTCTCATTGTTCTGGTTTCGTATCAAGTCTTTGTCACAAAAAGTACACAGCAATAAAAAGTGAATGAGCTAGTGCTGATTTACTTAGGAAAATTAACCTCAGTGAATGAAAGTTTTTCCATTCTCTTTCATTTTAGACCACAGAGTCTGTTTGTCGGATTTCAAAAAACTTGAGTGGTTTTTCCCAGAAACAACAGCAAATTTTGATAAACTGTTAATTCAGTATCGGGGATTTTGTGGTTATACATTGGCTACAACTGATGGTCTTCTCCTTCCAGGTATATTGTCTGAAACATTATTGTTCCCGTTTTCCCAATTTTTTCCTCTGTATGGAGTGTCACTTTCACTCACTTGCTCACTTTTTAAAACTTTATGGAATCAGGTCGTGAACCAGGAAAGGAACTTCAGAGGAGGTCCAGGCCCTATCTTTGTCCTGGAGGTGCTCACAGTATAACCTGTAGATTGACATGAAGAATAGATGGTAAACAATAAGTAATGAAATATTCATACAGTGTCAGCATCCTGAATCTAAAATGCTTGGGACCAGAAGTGTTTCAGATTTTAAATTTTTCTAAATTTTGGGATATTTTCATATACATAATGAGATATCTTGGGAATGAGACCAAATCTAAGTGCAGAATTAATTCATGTTTCCTGAACATCATACATATAGCTGGGGGTAATTTTATACAATATTTTTAGTATGCCTGTGTTTTGACTTGTGTGAACTGTCACATGAAGTTAGGTGCGGAAGTTCCCACTTGTGGTAACATATCAGGCTCAAAAAGTTTCAGATTTTGGAACATTTCACATTTCAGATTTTGAATTTTCAGATTAGATATGTTCATCTATATTACAATATATATGTGTATGCCATAGTATTACAGAAAGGGGATGGTTCAATGCCTAATAAAGTATTCCAGACTGTTATAGTATTGATAAAAATATATCATGTTCCAATGCAATTACTAAATAAAGCAGTAATTACTTGACCAATATGTTTCCTTAAAAATACTTTTTGTCAATATATATGTGTATACAAGGATAGTCGGGATAAGTGTATTGCTGACATCTGTGGTTATTGGAAGGAACAGTTAATGCTTAAAATTTTTTTTCTTGACCAATTTTGCATGCTTGTATCTGGTAATTAGAATGACTGATTTGAAGACAAAAATATGCAATATAAGAACCATTATTGAATTGCTACCATCTTGTATGGTGAAGCTCTGTATCATTTCCAGTGCTTTTTTTTTATTACTTGTTATTGTCTTTGATTGTCCGATCAATCTTACATCTGGTGGGCTGAGCAATTTCATTGACGATAACAGTATATTCCTATCAGTTTGTTTTGAAGTCATGTATCATTTTTGTTGTTTTCATTTTTTCTTCATTATTGTTTCGTTAGTTTTTTTCTCTTTAAAATAAGAAAAACTGTCATTTTATAAATGCATAGATCTAGATTTCTAAGTTAGCTTCTTCTAAGGAAATGGCCAATAAATATTGTCTATCCAATAAACTTTCTCTATGATGTATAGATTATTGGAGTGTCACTAAAACAAAGAGTAAATCAGATACTCAAGTGAAATAAATTATTATCCAGGAAATGTCATGTAAATTGGAAATAATAAGAAGCATGCTAGGGCTAGAATGAAAACAATTTGAAAAAATTGTCTCTTGTTTATACCATTAACTCCCTCCTTCATTTTCTTATTTCTTGTCTTTATTAGTGATGTTTCATAGTTGGCAGTTGCTTTTTTCATTAAAAAGAATTATTGGAATTGTATACATACCGGCTATAAAGGCACACAAGTTGGCTCATTTTTTATAGTATTACCATTTTTATAGTGAGAGTGACAAAAGATTTACAATGGGGAACTGAGATAATAGAATTCTGAGGCTCGTATGTGTTAGTTATCTTTCTGTTATTGTAACAAAATATCTGATACAAACAGTTTAAAAGGGAAAAGGTTTTCTTTGGCTCACGGTTTTAGAGGCTAGAGTCCATGGTTGGCTGGCTCCCTGGGAGAAACATCATGGCAGAAAGGCATGGCAGAGGAAGTCTGCTCACCTCATGGCAGTCAGGAAGCAGAGTCAGGTTATGCTGCATGCTCCCTAGGCCCGACCTCCCGACAACCCATTCAGCCTCCTACATTCAGTCACCTCCCAAAAGCCCCAACTCTGATATATGAGCCCATAGGAAGTCATTTTTGATCAAAATCATAATAGTCACTGACCCTGGGGAGAAAATAATTGAGAGTCCATGCAAAAGTAAGAAGCAATGGAGTGCTTGCCATTTCTTTGCTTTCCTTCCTTCCCCTCTCCCTGCTTTTCTTTCTTTTCTTTTGACACAAAACACAGAAAGACTTGCATGTGGGGTGATGACAGAGGTAGCAGGATGCAGTTGAAGAGGGCATGAGCTTGGATTCAGGAAAGCCTGGTTTCTAATCACGGTTTGTACCATTGATGAACAAGGTGACCTTCAGCGCATCTCCTGCCCTCTGTGAAACTCAGTTTACCCTCAGAAAAATTACAAGGACCAGGCAGGAGGTCTGTATGTTCCCTTGCAGTTTCTACCACCTATGGTTCTCAGAAAAAGGGAGAAACAGGAAAGTAGAGGAACTCAGTGGACTATGGGTTTTAGGCTACTCCCTGAATAAGCTAGGCCTGACCACCTTAATTCTGTTCTCTGCATTATTTCTACTTACTACATTGTTTCTGGGCAGCAGAAACCTTCATCACCCCTCTTTCCATTTAGGGACATACAACACAGGGCCCAAACCCCACAGTGACTCTGTGGCTTGCACTCAGCCTCCTTTTCAGATGGCCTCACTGACTTCCTGACCACCACTCTGCTCCTGGTTCGTACTGCTCCGGCAGCACTGGCCATGCTGTTCTGGAACATTCTGAGCCTACTTTCACTTCTGAGCCTCTGGACATGCAATTTCCTCATTCTATTTACATCACTCTTACCTCTTCGCTTTCACTGTGTGTTTCGCTTGCTTTTCTCTCCTTCCTACCCTCTCTCCCTTCCACCTATAGCACTGGTTACTCTTTGGCCTCTGATACATTTGTGATTTGTGAAGAACAGGGACTTTGTTTTCTTATATCTATGTTATGGTTTGTGTTTGGATGGCCCCCGCAAAGCCTCATGCAGTCATGGGGCAGGGCTTCTAGAGTTTATGACTGACTCATGGTCCAGTGTTGGAATTGCGAATGTGAGTACTACACCCATCCTGGGGTGAGTAGTTTGCATACAGTGTAAGGGAGGGAAAGAGGCTGCTTGCCACTGCTCCTCCCCTTTGCTCTTGCAGCTTTTGCTTTGCTGTTTTCTGCCACCATGAACTGTTGCCCTCTGCCATATGCCTTGGAGCCAGCCTAGCATAGACTGAAACCTCGATAGACTGTGAGCTAAATAAACCTTTCCTTCCTTAATTTTGGGTGTCAGGTATTTTGTCTCAGCAACGAGAGAAAGGTAACTAAGACAATCTACTTGATGCCAATAACTCCTTCAATAAATATTTGTTGAGCAAATGAAATAATAAATGAATAACATAGTATTACTGATGCCACATAATTTCTATAGACTGTGGAGATTTTATAATCTATAGTCAATATCAAATCTTTTTATAGTGGGAAATATTTTATAACATATAAATTTGCTTTTACAAAAGATGTCTGATAGTTGATAATTCTCACAGAGTTATTTTAAAAGCAATCCTTTATGGACCATTTTGGCTTTGTTGCAGTGCTTGGTAAAAACAATGCTTTAATAGTTATTTTAGCTTAAGTAGATTTTTAAAAGTCTGCCAGATGTCTACGTGATATTTCATAGAGGGTTTTAGAATATCTTTCATCTAGATAGTGGGAAATATTTTATATGAAATATATTTTAAAACCACACTTTAAAATAAAGAAACTTAAGGTCAGGGTATAGCTGAGGACATAGCACCTACCTGGCAAGCCCAAGGTCCTGAGTTCAATTCCTGGTACCAAAAAAAAATTAACAATAGTTTCACATAAAATATCATTTAATAAAACACATAATTTATAAAAACATAATGGATGAGTTAAAAATGCAGTATACAGGGAATGGTTTTATGGATATATTGTAAACATAGTCAATATTTTATGCCTAATTCAGTTCTTTCCTTGATTTTCAGGAAATCCATCAATTGGCATTTTGAAATATAAAGAAAAGTATTACAATTTCAATACCAGAGATGCTGCGTATTTATTTGCAGAAAATCCTGAAAAGTATATCGATTTAATTAAAGAAATGGCCAAAAAACATGCAGAGTTAATTCAGCTTCTGGAGCTTCATCAACAGTTTGAAACACTGATTCCCTATTCTCAGGTAAGCAGGGCAATATGAAGAATTGATGACATTTAAAATATATTGTATTTTAAAAGTTATACATTTCTAAGAGTAATTCCCAAACCCTGGTGGAGATGAGACCAGATGAAGGTTTTCACAAGTTATCTGAAAAGAATTCACATCTGAAGATGGAAACTAATGGAATCCACAAAGAATAATAACACAGTATGGAATCAAACTGATAAATGAATAAGATTGGAGAAAATCTGAGAAAGTCTGAAAGAGAAAGAGAAAGGCCCAAAAGAGAAATCTGTACTTGAATAATTAAAATTACGGTATTTTAGTATCTAAAATTAGAGGTGCTCAGCCCAGATAACACAGATGATAACTTAACTTAATACTCATAGTTGCAAAGCAATTTCCTAGGTTTAAATCATAGCAAGCTAAAATACCACAAAATGTATTTGAAGCTGTGTTTCTGGCATATCTGTGCTTTTTGCTTAATTGATTCATCAGACATTTGATAAGACAATTACCATGTGCCAGGAATTATTCCTGGCATATGGAAATTGGCAGTAAACAAAATTTAAAAATCTGTACTTGCGTGGACCTCATCCTATTGCTGTACAACCTTGTTTCTTGCTCTTTGCCTGTCATTGCCATTGTTCACTTTTTCATTGAACATTCAGGTTCGCCCCTTTCATTGAGTTCCTTTTTTAAAATATACTGAAATACATAGTTGAAAATGTTTATTGTTTGCTCATTTTTTAAAATCAACATTTTAACTATGAACCAGGTGGGCTTTGATACCACTGATCTGGGCAGCAGGGACCAAGCAGTAATTAGAGAATTGACATGTTAGTGACGTGAACACAGAGGGTGTCCTGAGCACAAAAGTAGGAAGATCAGAAAGACACTAGGAACCGAGTCATCTGGGGACAGCATGGGAAATACAGTGGTCAGACCCTGGAGAGCTCAGTTTGGATGGCTGTGAGAGCCTATGCACTCTTTATGTTTATTTTTTATTAGTAGAGGTTTGCAGTACATAATCATTACATTTGTCACAGGGAGTTGGTACATGTACACACTTCTTAATCCTTTTTGTCCCCTACTCCTCCCAACCCTCTCTGCTTTCAGCTCTGGTTCCCCTTCCCGTTTGTAAGAGCTCTATCTCCATTTTGTTCATTCACTTCTTTTCTTGACCCATTTCCCTTCCCTCTATTCCCTTCCCTCCATCTTTTTTTCCCCTTTGCCTTTGAAAAATATCTCCCTACTTCCTATTGTCTATCCTTTATTTTGCTCTTTATGTATAATTTAGGTTTCTCCTCTAAGAGAAGCCATACAATTCTTAATTAAACTTGTATGTCTGATATATTTCACTTAATACTGTGGTGACAAGATGCATCCATTACCTATGAATGCCTCAAGTTTATCACTTTTATCGCAGAGTAGTACTCCATTGTGTGTAAATACATTTTCTTTATCCATTCATCTGCTGATGGGTATATAGGCTGTTTCCAACATTTAACTATTATAAACTGTGTTGCTATAAACATGGGTGTGCATGGATCACAATAGTATGCTGTTTTTAACTCTTTTGGGAAAATACCTAGATTACCAGGGGAAAAGGGAATTTCTACTTTCAGTTTTTTGAGGAATCTCCATAATGATTTCCATACTGGTTGCACTAGTTCACATTTCCACCAACAGTGAAGAAAGATTCCCTTCTCCTGCAAACTCACCAGCATTTGTCATTATTTGATTTCCTAATGGCAGCCATTCTTTCCAGAGAAAGATGGAATGTAAAGATGGATTTTTTTTAGTGGCTAGCAGTGTTGAACATTTTTTTATGTATTTATTGGCCATCCACACATCTTCTGAGAAGCATCTATTCATTTCAGTTGCCCATTTTTGACTGATTCCTTTATTTTGGAGGATCTCATTTTTAATGTGTACTCTATATATTCTAGATTTGAGTCCTTTATCCAAAGAATAGCTTGCAGAAAAATTTCTCCCTCCTGTACATTGTCTCTTCATTCTGTTGGTTGATTCCTTTGCTGTGCAGAAGCTTTTTAATTTGATATGATACTATATGTTGATTCTCAGTACTATTTCTTGTGCAACTGGGATTCTGTTCAGAAAGACCTTACTTATGCGTATGTCTTCAAGAGTTGTCTTCAAGAGTATGTCTTCAAGAGTTTCTGTTTAAACACTTAGATCTTTGATCCACTTTGATTTTTATTTAGTCCATGTTGAGATGTATGTGTCTGGACTGTCTTCTGCATGTTGATATCTGATTTTTCCAGCACTCTTTATTAAAGAGGCTGTCATTCTTCCACTGTATGTTTTTGGGCCCTTTGTTGCAAATCCAGTATTTGAATGTGTCTGAGGTTGTTTCTTCTTCCTCTGTTCTGTTCCATTGATCCACAAGTCTTTTTGTGCCAGTACCATGCTGTTTTTATCATTGTAGCTTTGCAGTATCACTTTAAATCTGGGGTTGTGATGCTTTCTGCTTTGATTTTGTTGCCCAAGATTGCTTTTGTTATTCTGGGTCTCTTCCAGTTCCATATGAATTTTTGCATTGTTTTCCATAGATCTGTGAGTAATGCTCTTGGTATTGATGGTGATTGTGTTAGATCTATGTATCAATTTTCTAAGTATAACTACCTTGACTTATTGGTTGTGCCTATCCAGGAACATGGGATATTTTTCCATTTTCTGATGTCCTCTTTAGTCTCCCTTATCAGAGCATTGTAATTTTCACTGTAGAGGTCTTTAACTTCCTTGATTAGGTTAATTCCTAAGAATTTAATATTTCTTGATGCTATTGTGAGTGGTATTATTTTCCTAATTTTTTCTCAGTGAGTTCATTGTTAGTGTATAGGAATGCTACTGATTTTTGTGTTGATTCTGTATCCTTCTGTATTTCCAAATTTGGTTATTAATTCTGGGAACCTTTCCATGGACTTTTTGGGGTCTTGTAGGTAGAGGGTTGTGTCATCTGCAAATAATGATACTTTGACTTCTTTCTTTCCTGTATGCATCCCTTTTATTTTTTCTTTTGCCTGATTGCTGTGGATAATATTTTCAAAATTATGCTGAACAGGAGTGAGGCAGTGAAAATCCTTGCCTAGTTCCTGATTTTAGGAGGAAAACTTTCAGTTTTCCCTTATTCAATCTGATATTGGCAGTAAGTTTGTCACAAATGGCTTTTATAAAACAGATAAGGTTCTTCTGTCCCTGTTTTCTTCAATATTTTTATCATGAATTGATGTTGAATTTTGTGAAGTTCTGCATCTATTGATGTGATTTTTATCCTTGCTTCTATTTATGTGATGGATTACATTTCTTGATTTGCATACATCAAACCATCCGTATATCTCTAGGATAAAGCCTACTTGGTCATGATGTATGATCTTTTTGATGCTTTATTGCATTATGTTTGCCAGTATCTTGTTGAGGACTTTTTGCATCCGTGTTCATTAGAGATTGGCCTATAGGTCTCGTTCTAGGATGGGTCCTTGTCTGGTTTTGGAATCAGGGTAATGCTAGCTTTCAGGAGTGACTTTGGCAGTTTAATTAAAGATTTTGAGGAATATTGACATTAGATATTCCCTGAAGTTCTTATAGAATTCAGGAGTGAATCCACCAGTTCCTAATCATTTCTTAGGTAGAAGGTTATTACTGCTTCCATTTTTTGGCTATTATTGGGTTATTTAGGGTTTTTAAGTCTTCTTGCTTGAGTTTTTGTTATTTATATATATCTATGAATGTCTTCATGTCTTCTGAATGCTCCAATTCATTGGCATAAAAGTTTGTGAGGTACTTACTAATAATCTTCTGGATTTTGGCAGTGTTCTTTAAAACAGAGTGAGCCCACATAAATAACCTAATGATGCACCTCAGAGTTTAGAGAAACAAGAACTAAGAACAGAATTCAATGAAATGGGGACTTAGAAAACAACATAAAGAATCAATGAACTGAATTCTCAACAATGTTATGGTTTATATCTAGATGTCCCCCTCTAAGCCTCACATTCTCAGAGGTGGGTTTTTTTTGCAACTGGCTGTATCTAGGATATATAATACTGGTGTGTGGTACTAAATTGGTCCACTAATTAGAATTAGCATCATTCTGGGTGTGGTTAATGGAAGCCCCACTTGGGTGTAGGTCACACCAATAAAGGGAGACAAGGCCAACTGCTACTTACTGCTCACTTCATTCTCCCTGCCATGAACTGTTTCTCCTCTATGATACCCCTCTGCCATGCTGCCCTGCCTTGGAAGCAGCCAACTATGGACTGAACCCTCTACAAACTGTGAGCTGAAATGTACCTTTCTTCTGCTAATACGTGGGTATTAGTATTTTATCTCAGCAGTGGGAAAAGTAACTAAAAGATACACTGTTTCAATTATTTTTGCTTTCTAACACAGTTATCCCTTGGTATCTGTGAGGGCTGGTTCCAGAACCCTGCAATACTCAAACCTTCAGGTTTTCAAGTCCCTTATATAAAACAGTGGGTGAGGGATATAGCTCAGCGGCACAAGTGCCTGCCTGGCAAGTACAAGGTCCTGAGTTTGATTCCCAGTACCAAAAAAAAAGTTCATATTTGTATTATCTAGGGAATGATGACAAAAACATTTGAATATTTAGCACAGATATATGCTTTTTACCCAAATATTTTTGCTCTACACTTGGTTGGGTCTGTGGATGCACTATGTACTAACAAGGAGAGCCACCTGCATACTTAACTACTTATGTCATAAAGAACCCCTCTTCCTTGCCTTTATTTTTACAAAGTGTCCATGTAACTTTCTTAGTAAATTTTCAGAGTTCTGCCAAAAGTCTCCCTGGGATTTAAAATGGAATTGCATTAAATAAAACAATGTGAAATTTATATATGTATTATTTTTAGTTGGCCCATTCATATAAACACCATTTTCTTAGTATTTTTCTCTATAATTAGTTCATTAATTATATCAACACAGCTTCATGGTTTTAGGGATATTTTTTATTCTACACTTACAAAAGAGTTGTT